TCACGCTGCGTCTGCTTGGTTGGTTAGGTATTGATTTTGAGCTAGGCCCTTTAGATAAACCGCCATGGAAGCTTCTCTGCTTGTCTAGATCGAGAATTTTAGGAAAAAAAAGAAGAGATTCGGCTTGGAAAGGGAAAGTATTTGATGGTTAAATTGCTTGAGGAGGGAATTGTTTGAATTTGGAAATATTGTTCTTCACTGGAGAATATTGGATATTTCTGTATATCTCATGTTGGTTTTGTAATCTGGTAGGTCCTGGGAATTCAGAGTCGCTTGGTTTTTTTTGAGTACTGAATTTCCAACGAAGCTGCTAGGATGGGTGTGAAGCAGGCCCTAAGGAGTATCGATGCGTTCCCAAGAGCAGAGGATCATTTGCTGCAGAAGACACAATCCGGTGCAGTCGGTAATGGATTTTCTCTTTTGCTCTCTCTTGTTATTTGAGAATCCCTTTTTGAATGCTTGATGTGTGTTTGCTTATCTATAATCTTATAATTTTGGTTTTTATTGTAGTATCTATTGTTGGACTCTTCATAATGGCTACTTTGTTCTTGCACGAGCTGAGTTACTATCTTAACACACTTACAGTGCATCAGGTACGTATATTTTGTTCGAGTGAAATCTGGTGCGCTTCTGTTTGTTGCTCTGACTTTAGCTTTCAAATTGCTGTGAATAGTCTCCTATACATTGCAGTGAATAGTCTTCTGCTTCATGTGTCTTATGAAACTCAATGGATGGATGCTGTGAAATAGTATTCTTCCATCTGATATTTGACAAATCTGTCATTGTCTCATTGACATTGTTATTGCCGTGAATGAGATAATGCAAATGATTTGAATGTCCTAGTCGAATTTTTATAGGGATCCATATATCATTAGGGAATATGGATTGAAGTCTCTCTGTTGATTCAACTTCATTGATCCCCAAGTCCTTCACTATCCATTAGATTGGCTCGTAGGTTTTTTTCTCCTTTTGTATTTATATAGACGTCATAACCAAAATGGAAATTGTATCATCTTTTTCTAGATGTCAGTGGACTTAAAGCGTGGGGAAACTCTTCCAATTCATGTAAATATGACGTTTCCATCTTTGCCTTGTGATGGTAAGTGTAATCCATTGATCACATAGTAGTCAAGTCATAATTTAAACGATCTTTCCTTCATACCTTCCGGAATACTTGTCGTTGTAGACTTTATCATTTGATCTTATTTCTTTTGTAGTGTTAAGCATGGATGCTATCGACATGTCAGGGAAGCATGAAGTGGATCTCGATACAAACATTTGGAAGGTAAGATGAATCCAAATGCTAATGCAAATGACAAGTCTTTTCACATGTTTTCTCTTCCACCTTAATGGAATTACCCAAACTTGCTTTGTTAGACTGCGCCTGAAATATATAGCAGTTCATATTTATAGGCTAAACATACTACCTGAAGGGAACTATTTGGAGATTTTCCTTAGCATATTTATACCTCACTTCTTATGGCATTTGTTATTTACTCACTTATTGAGAGTATCTGTCTGCAGCTCCGTCTCAACAGTCATGGTCATGTCATTGGCACAGAATATATATCTGATCTTGTTGAAAAGGAGCATGATCACTCAGTTCACAAGCATGGTAACATTTTAAACTTTCTGAGCATCCTTCAAGTTTGTACCTTCTCCGACGAGCTTCAAATCCCTCAATTATCATTATAATGTCTTTGTCTTGAACCTTTTGGAAGAACAGATAGTCATGTGCATGCTAGTTCTACGAACATGTAAACTTGTATTAACCATAGTGAATATTCCAAACTAATAATAATAGTTTCTCAAATATGATGTTGTATTTGGAGAACTGAATTTACACAAATTTGTGTGCATCCAAATCAAATATTAATAGGAACCTTACAAGTTGAATTGAGGCTTATCATTAAGGTGGCACATATATAAGAGAGTCCCAGTAATAGTTGTCATGGTAGCTAATTTTTTTTTTTTGATATAAGAATAGAGAATCACTTACACATTATAATTTGATATCTTTTGTGCTTGCTGAAGATGGCAAAGAAGAACACAAGAATGAGACCGAAGCATTCAATTTTCTTGGCTTTGATCAAGCTGCTGAGACGATGATTAAGAAGGTGAAGCAAGCGTTGGCAGATGGAGAAGGATGTCGGGTATTAACCCTTTGCTCTTGTCAATAGACAAACTCGAAATGTTGTCTTATTGGGGTTTTTTGAGGCTAATCTTTTGGCTGTTTTCCAGGTTTATGGTGTCCTAGATGTACAACGGGTTGCTGGAAACTTCCATATTTCAGTTCATGGGCTGAACATCTATGTTGCTCAGATGGTTGGTATCATTTTCTTGCTTTATAATCCATCCTCTTACCAGGACTTAAAGTGCAAAAGTATCTGAACCCACTAAACCAAGAGCATGCTTAAAACTCAGATTCATTAAATAAGTTTGATTAAGTACCATGATCATGATTGACTTCTGATTCCATGTATAAAGCCAGACTTGCATGTAGAAAGTCAAAACTGCTAAAGTACTCTCATCATTGCATTTGCACCTCATTCACAGACTTACTATTTGATTATACCGTGCTAGGTTTTGCCTATTTTGCTTTACCAACATCATGTGGTATATAAATAATCTCTTTACCCTCTGAACAGATCTTTGGCGGTTCCAAAAACGTAAACGTGAGCCATGTGATTCATGATTTATCCTTTGGGCCGAAATACCCTGGAATTCACAATCCACTTGATGACACAAACCGAATTCTGCATGACAGCAGTGGAACATTCAAATACTATATTAAGGTGCTTATCTAAATTCGTCACTGCTCTTTTACTCGTCTCTCTTTTTTCTATTGTTACTTGTATTATTTATTACTTCATTATTTGTTACTTCCAAATTGTATGGCTAGCCTTATAATCCATTTCATTAGATATGAACATTTTTTTGTAAGTTAGGTCAGTAAATTCTTTCTGGTATGGTGCAGATTGTTCCCACGGAATATAGATATCTTTCAAAAGACGTACTATCAACGAATCAGTACTCTGTAACGGAATATTACACACCGATGAACGAATTTGACCGGACATGGCCAGGTTGGTCAAAGAAACTTCATTTCCAATATGCACCTGGGTTCTCTGTTTTTGTTTCTTGATGTCACATTTTTCACTGCTTTTTTTCGTTTTTTTTTTCAGCTGTCTACTTCTTGTATGATCTATCACCTATCACTGTGACCATCAAAGAAGAACGCCGTAGTTTTCTCCACTTGATCACTCGGCTTTGCGCTGTATTAGGCGGTACCTTTGCTTTGACAGGTTTGTCCCATCTCGATCTAGTCTCTCATTAGTCATCTTTCACAAATCTTCGGCTGATATTAGTTAAAATCATGTCTTAAAAACAGGAATGCTAGATCGTTGGATGTTCCGACTGATTGAATCTTTCACGAAAAAACCGAGTACTAGAAGCATACACAAGTGAAACAGAGAAACAAAAAACAATGAGAAACCAAAGGAAGGAAGAAGAATCTCTCAAACCTCAAAACTTGTATCTGCCTTCTTCTAAGACAAAACCCAAGACCAGGATTCCAGAAAACTCCAGGATTGATACATTTGCAAGATCCAAACTCAGAACTCTAGAATCCATTGATATATAATTTTGCATGTTCTCAGTCTTTTTTGTTTTTGTTTTCCTCTTATGTATTTACTCTGATAATCTCTGGTTAACTAGTAGAGTTATTTGTAATCTTATTCACTTGGCTTCCTGTGTGTTTTTAGCATCTTTCAACTTTGCTTAGAAAAAAAATATCGAAAAAGAAGAACCAATTGTACTGATACACGTGTCAAGTGGAACACATACACTCATCGCAGGAGATCCATTCTTCACAACGTGTTAGGGTTTTTCCTTCTCCGTCTTCTATCTCTCTGTCATTTCTCGAATCGGAAAGTTCCTCACCGTCGAATCTGAAAATGATCACCGGATTATTCCGTAGATCTTCCTTGCCGTCGAGGCAGACTCTCTCAGCCGCGCTATCCTCCTTTGATTCGGGTCTTTCCCACCATTTCACTTCAGCCGCCACCGGAGTCTCCGGCGAGCTTAATCTCATTGGAAATGGATCTCGATTCACGTCCGCGTCGTCTCCGAACTCGTTTGGTATCAGAGCGAGGGGAATCGACATTAGATCTGAGCCGTCGATGGTTTCCCCTGCGACAATCGCGTTTCGAGGGTACGCCACTGAACCTGAGAGTAGCATCGGAGAAAACAGAGATTCGGAGAGTGTCAAACCATTGTGTAGGAAGGCGATTGCTCTCCAGGTATGTTTTTTTTTTTGTTTCTCATTCATTCTCAAAAATTGTTTATTGAAGTTGTCAAGGTTTGCTTTAATCAGATGCATAGAATTTTCCTGTAGTTTTGGTGTTAGTGTTGATGAAATAATTTGGGAACTGTTGTTGTTTGTTCTTGAATAGAAAGAGGCACAAGAAAGCACATCGAAGATAAAAGGAACAAAGATTTGCATAGCGATTCGGTCTTTCAATAACCCGGAAAAGCAAGCTTGGTGTCTTCCTCCTCACACTCGTAAGATTGCAATGCCCGACACGAGAGTCTTGTACACTGTGCTACGATCGCCTCACATCGATAAGAAGTCGAGAGAACAGTTTGAGATGAGGTTCAAGAAACGGTTACTTGTCATCAAAGCTCAGAGCCATGAGTTGAGCAAGAAGCTGTTTTGGCTAAAACGTTACCGTATTCTTGGAGCTCAATACGAACTACAGTTCCATTGCAAGACTCGTTTGGACTTGACTCCAGTGTTAGGCAACATCAATGGCTCCACCGATGGTCATGGTCAGTGAGACTGCTAAAGTTACAGGAAAGCTACCGGGAGGGCTTTTTACCCGACCTGCTATAATGTCGAAACCTTAGGGATCCAAGAACGCGGTATTTGCATCACTCCGGTAGCTCTTTTCTTGCTTAGTAAAACTTGTTTCTTGTTTTTGACGGTTCTCATAGACATGGTTTCGATTTCGAACAGAGTTTCTGTAGCGAAAGGCTTCCGATTTAATGCCATTTGATTCCATTGTATGGGTTTCTTCATGATATTTGACACAAAAAAACTCGGTATAAATCACTAATGATCTTTGACACAAAAAACTAGATGATAATTGTAAAAACTACAATTATCATAACTATTTTGGGCCTAAGATTTGGCCCTAATGATTTTTGTAACACAAGACAAGACTCACATTTCACAAATAAAAAGTAGAAACCCTACTACGAAGCTGTTTGATGAATTTAGATTAGCGGACGATATCTCCACCCTAGCCACTGCGTCGTTGCCCTCGCCGCCACCGCGCTTGCCGCCGTAAAATCAAACAACCACAACCAACACCAGTAGTAGACTCAATGAGCTCTGTAGTAGACTCAATCAGCTCATTTACCAGATGAGATCCTCCAACATATCCTCTCCTTTATTCCGACTAAATTCGCCATCAGAACATCACTCTTGTCAAAACGATGGAGACATATATGGTGCGATACACCTATACTCTCTCTTTCGCTCCCTTGATCGCTGCAATACCCTCCTTGTCATCGTCCAAAAAAATCACAATTTAAAGGACGATTGAGATCGTTACGGATGATATCCAAAACCGTAGTGCAGCCTGTAAGATTATATAAATCATATAAGTTAAAAATATGATTATATTAACAATCACACTAAAGTAAACAAATATACGTAAAAAGTAAAGAGGGTACCTTTCCGTTTGAAGATCC